ACCTCATGGGTCGACTTCTCGCGAGTCGACACCCCACGGGTCGATCATAGCTCCATGATTCGGTCCTCCAGTGGGCTGAGTTGGCTTTACACCGTGCGCTCCTACATGTATCGGTCGTCATGCCGGTGGGTCGAGGGTCTAAGGGTCGAAGGGGTTGAGGATTGGGGGTGTCGAGGGTATAAGGGTCTAAGGGTCGAGGGTCTAAGGGTCTAAGGGTCGAAGGGTTTGAGGGTTGGGGGTGTCGAGGGTCGAGAGGGTTGAGGTCGGTCGAGCCGCATTAGGCCGAGTCGTGTTAGGCCGAGTCGATATTGATATCCCTATCAATCACTGATTATATCATGGGTGTGGTTGAATTGTCATATAGCTTTGGGGGTTTCCCTAAATTCTTGGATGTGCTCGGATTTCTTGATCGTAGCTTCTTAATGTCTTGTGGATTCTGATTTCCTACAACCATAGGATTACCATACAGGTTTTTATTTGATGTGTGTAGTGAAGAAGACATTTTCTTACGAGCCTTAATTCCTAACTAAGAAGAAGAAGAAAGAAAAATGGAAAATAATGGTGAAAAGAAGAAGAAAAATGATGGAGAAGAAGAGAAGAGAAAGGAAGGAGAAAAGGAGTGTTCGTGGTGTTCTCGAAAGCTAGGGTTTTACGCCTCGATCGAGAGTTCTTTTTTCGAAGTCCCGATACGATATTTATATGAAATAGGGTCACGGGCGTGAGATTTTTATAAAGTCGACAATGTTTTAGTGATCAGGCTGATGTTTATGCACTTACACGACCAAACATATCCTTTTTATAGTTCACGAAGAAGAAAATTCGGGGAGAACTTGCTGGAATTATAGAAAAAAGTTTCAACCTTTGAGCATTTTCTTCTTCGGCATTTCATATGGTCATCATCATTTACATGTCCACGTATTTTTGCATCGTTGGTTGTTTGTTTGTGCCCGTACAGATTGGTGAATGTTGTATTCTCGTCAAAGCCTGAAAACAAAGTCTCGGATAACTGATCTCCTAGACCAAATACAGTTCACATACTCGAAGATAAAATACAGCAATAAAATTATTTCGTTAATTCATAAATGAAGAAACAAAAACATTTTTATTATAGATAAATGTCTTTCATACTTCATCAGTGACATCAATCAGATCCCTTCTTCGGATAATCTGTGTTTGTGGTGAGAAAAATATAACTTTGGTCGATATTTATATATAGAGGATAAGAATAAAGTAGTCTTAATCAAAGCAAACGAGTCCATAATCCGCTGCCTTTGAATAGGTTAAATCATACTAAAGCAGTGTCCTGTTTTTCGTATTTAATATACAAAATCTCGACAAGATATTTCTTTACCTTCGTTTCTATGTTATTTTCACTTCTCTTGCTAATTTTAGATTTTATTTTTTGTTTTTAATTAAATTTATTGTTCTTTGGCACAATGATTTAGTTTTTAAAGGATCTTATCAAGTTGTAGCATGAGTCGAAGATCCACAGTTGATTTGTCAACAGGTAAATAATATATATATATATATAATATATATATATAATTATATATACATATTTATATGCATTTTTCAATCTATTATATCATATAATAATTTACCTAATAAAAAATCATATTAAATTATTTTTGAGAGGTTATACACCATAAAGAAATTAATAGTAAACATTTTCATCATACTATATATTTTTTTTTAACATTTTTATTCATTTGTATCACAGTGAAGGATGTATATCGACGTCTAAATGCGGCTAAGATGAAAAGAAAATACAACGATTTACATGCTTATCAGAAGCAAGTATATTGTGTTAAAAAAAAAAAAAAAAAAAATATCGCAAGGGCCAAAATATGGGTGTTGCATGTCTTTATACCGATGAAGTTTCATCTGGACCTATAGGTTAGAAATATTTAATCCTCTAATACAAAATATATACATGTTTTTTTCTAGATCTAAATGAGTACTATATGTTTCTTTTATACTTCAAGAATTTGTTGTTTTTGTTGTTTCTATATTTTTATATTAGATTGTCATAACGCATTTAAGTATTCTATATTTCATGCAGTTAGAGATGTAATGGTGTCATTCTTTACTTTTGTACAAATAAAAATATAAAGGATGTCTTTGTTGTATATTTGTCATTATGTCTTATTCACCCATAAATATAACTATTAAAATTACATGTACTTAATGGGATTTACTAAAGATATATTATTAGTACTCTATTATTATTGTACATAGAAAAAATAAATAAGGCATTTCATTCATTTATGTAATTTAATAAATAATTGGTATTTGTCATTTCTTAGGTTCAATTATCAAAGGGAATGTATGTTTAGCGATACATGAGTTGGAAAAAAATGCCCAATTGCATACATTGCGGTGCAATGAAATTTCAGTATGAGTGTCTAACATTTTATTGTGATAATGGAAAAGTCAAACTTGCTCCTATTGAAGTGTCTGATGAACTATATGAATTGTTCACTTCACAGACGGAAGAGGGAAAACAGTTTCGTATAAGCATTCGTTTAGTTAACAGTATGTTCTCTTTTACATCATTAGGGGTCAAATTAGATAAAGAACTTGCATCTGCAAGATAAGGATTCTATACTTTTTGAGCTCAGGGAGTAGTGTATCATGATCTTCCTAGCTTATTGCCTAAAGAAGATGGACCCAGATATTTTCAGTTGTACTTTGTGGAAACAGAACGAGAGGTCGAGAATAGGATGAGCATATTTACAAACTCCTCTTTATCCAAATCTACGGTTAACAAACTAATTAACGTTTTAGATGTAAATTCATATGCAAAAGTTTTTAGAAGATTGAAGGACTATCCATCAATTCATCAATAGATGAAGTTCAACTGCATATCTCAAATGATGCAAAATTAGACCAGCGCGTGTATAATTGTCTGACAACTGATCAAGTCGCAGCAATATGGGTTGAAGGAAATAATGTTAATATTCCCTTTGAAGGTGACATTGTCATTCATGCACATTCAGGTGCTAGACATAGAATAAAATATTTTTTTGGATGTTATGATCCACTGCAATATTCCCTCCTTTTTTCAAGAGGTGATGGTGGTTGGCATCAAAAAATTTTCAAGATAGCTTCTA